AAGCCACCCTTCCCCATGCCTGTGGCTACTCTCTCCTTCAGCCCATTTTTCTATGAAAATTACTTAGGACATTCAATTTATATTCCTAAATTTACATTCTCTCTGGAGCGAAGTCTGTAAGGATCCAGGGAATCTTGTCACTGAAGTTCACCACTGTCTCTCTGGAACTTGACACATTGGTTTGTTCCAGGAGCCAGCCTTCTGCACTTCAGCAGATGCATGAACAGAAGTTGCTTAGACAGCCACTCTTACCCAAGTCCTGCACTAGTGAATCATATCCAGTATACTCCTTTATTCTTTTGTTACCATTTGGAAAAGGATGTTTCCTACCCATGAAGCATCTTTTGGCTTTCTTTTGTGGTAGGACTGTCTTGATCAGGACATCTGTCAATAACTGCAAGACCTGACCAAGAATGTAGGTTGGAGTGATACCATGGAGAAGATGGGTAGACAGTCAGGTCTTTCTCCATTAATTTCACCAAGATTTCTGTGAAGTCTGTCTCAGTAAAGATTTGTCCTCTTGACAGGCAGAGTGCACTGCTGTATAGAAATACTCTGTGAAGTCAGTCTTTGCCAAGTAGAAAAATAGGAAGCTATGTGGGTGATTGTGGGGGTGGTCGCTAGCTGTGTCCACCAAAATCTGTTCTTTTTTTCCTGGACATGAACCGTGATTACATTTCCCAGCCTCCTTTGTAGTGAGGGGTGGTCACAGGACAGTTCTGCCCCGTGGTATGTGGGCACAAGAGGTGACGTCTGGTCTAGGCCTCGCTCACTTGCTGTCCATCATCTTCTGCTGCAGTTCATTGTGTTTTCAATGTCCACAGCAACCCTGGAAATGATAGTTGAAAATAGGAATACCTCACCCTGGGTCTCTGACCACCAGATGGGAAGAGCCTTCCCGCCAGGCCTGAACTGATCAGGCAATCCTGGTTAGCCCTTTGCACTGAAGCACTGGCGTTTCAGGGTCCCTCTGTGCCTCCGCCCTGGCCATCCTGCAACCTCCTTCTCTAAGACACAGACACCTCTGAGAAGCAAGACCAGCAGACACAGTTGCCAACAGTGTCCGTTGAAGGAAGAGCCCCTAAGGAAGGAGGTGAACGGATGCGGGCAGGAATCCTGCTCCCTCGTGAGCCATTCCCAACGAGATCTGAAAACAAAGACGATGACAACTCATTGTTCTAAGACTGGCACAGGAGAAGAGCAGATGTCTGTGAGGTGCCCCCTCCCCCATCTTCTGTGGTACTTCTCACTCCAGTCCACTGTTCTCTGTGGCCTAGACCCCTCTCTAGGGTATCACAAGGGCTTTGGAACCAACAATGAGAAGTCAAAATTTGTGATGCGGGAACTCTGGGCCTTGGAGGAGGAGGAAAGGACAAGTGAATGAATTATGCAGCAGGCTGCTCAGATGACAGCTGTTTTCTCAGTGTCTCTGTCTTTAAGGAGGGTGGTGTCAGTGTCTTCCTGACCCTGGGATGAACCATCCCAGCCCAGTCACTGGTAGATCATGTCTTATGATTGTTTGAGAAATGAAGAACTATTTTATCTCACTTTAATGTCACCAAACCTTGGGAGGAGACAAGACTTTATTGGAGGCAGTGTTGTTTGCCCACTGGGATCACAGCAGCAGCTGTTTTGTATGTCTCCTGGTCTGCAGGAAAAGGACATGCACCCTCAGATGGGACTACTCACTTCCTGTGGCTGAAGAAACGTGAGCAAAAGTGACAGTAGGAAAGGCCTCACGTCTCTTCTGCTGCCTCCGTGACTCCTGAGGTCTCGCATGGGTGGAGCCTTGGTCAGTCTATCCCTGACTGACGCTGTAGAAGATCATGGAGCCCTTCTCTGACTTACAGTGTGTGGAGTGAGGACAAGATACCAATTTTCACTGGGATAAGCCGTCCTGATGCTTTTCTCCAGCACAGAGCAGCCTGTGGTGACTTACAGCTTAGTCCTACTCAGAGCTGGGTCCAAGAATGGAGTTGTGGGAGAGTTCTGAGTGCTTGTGAGAAAACAAGTCTTGTGATCTCAGTTTCTTCGAAACACAGAACTGTTCCTGGAATGTGTTTCTGTGCTCCTCCCGGGTTAGCAGATGGGAAGGAGTGAGTTTACTCCAGCTGTTGTCATGCGTGTGATCTGGAAAACCGTGTTTTGCCACACGCGGCTTGTCCTTGTGATTGCACACTTTACTCAGGTGATTTGTCTTAACCCTCAGAGTATAAACTGTTTGATGCTCTCAATAAAGTTGGGTATTGCATGGGACTTGAGTCCACCCCGTCTCTCCCAGGTTCATGCTAGAGTGGTGAACAACTCCTTACTTTGTGTGTACGGAACCTCAAGTTTTGTCAGCATCTCTCTGGGTGGCCACTTGCTTCCCAGGATGCCAGGCTTCTCCTAGCCTCAGAGGTAAAATGTGGATGGATTCAGTCACTTCATGGTCATCTCAGTCCCTTCATTTGAGGATTACTTGAGGCATATAATCCAGGTTTGGCAAATAAGATGCCTGGGGAATCCTGCTAGGGGAATTCTGAGGAAAATTTTCCTCATGTCTAGACCAAGAAACAAGAATACTTCCTTTTCATCCCCCATGGCATTAATGTAGAACTCCATGAGACTTGGAGTTGTTACAAGCATCTTGTGGCCATAAGGGGAAATGCCAACATTCAGGAGATGGCAATGTGGAGAGAGGAGGAATCCCTTTGAGGCACACAAGTGTAGGGGAAACCTTAGCAACCTGGACTCTGCTTGAGTTGAGCTAGTCAAACTCGCCTCTTTTCCCAACAAAGCACTTAGCTATCTGGCTGTACATACACTCTACTCCAGACAATGCAGTAGGTCATCCCTCCCTAGAGACCCCTCGGCAACTCCAGTAACATATCCAGTAACTATGGGCAATGGTCTGATCCAGTCTGGACTGGTTTTGGGTACATGTACAGCAAGGCAAACTGTGTCCTCAAAATGAATTGTTCTTAGGGGGAAAATCCCCTCTTTGCCATCTTATGCCTGATTGGGTGTACATTTGATTAATTCCAGCTGTATCAAGGGAAAGGACATAAGGAGTGAACTAAACATAATTTAAGCCTGTCAATCAAAACAGAAAATCCCCTATACTCCACAGTTTAGCAGTTAACTCCTCCTCGTGGGTTTACGGAAGGAAGCCTTGGCAGGCACCATGGGCTGTTGACCGCTCTAGCTTAGGTAACCCATTGCTCCTTTGTGATGGATTGGTCCCGTGTTTTCATTTCCTCTTTGACTAAAATCTTTTGCTGTGTTATCTGGGTGTGCTTCTTCAGTTTTTTGGTTTTTTTAACAAGATGCCAAGACCTCCTGGTTTACAGGAGAGCCCATCTGCACACCTTAGGCTGTTTAGTCAGCATAGCTATACAGATTATCTTTACGTCAGCAAAGATGAACATGAAATTGGAGGAGTCTGGAGGACTTGGCTCATATCTTGGCTGATGAGGTAGAGGTTTGGGCTTCTCACTCCTAGGCTTTCCTCATGCTGCTCTGAGGAGAACAGCCTAGCTTCTCTTTTACCTCCAAACAATTAATGGTGTGTGTGTGACTACTCGTGTTGGGAGACTTCTAAAACCACACCCAACAGTAAAGAGGGTTTTGAACGACACAGTTTCATGTGCAATGGATAAGGAAGTGCTATGCTTTCTATCAAGGTAGTACTTCAGGTTCCTTCTGGATCACCAATTTATGACAAGGATGGTGTATCAGCGTTCCACTCCTGTGTAATAACTCATCCCAAGAGTCAACAGTTTAAAAGACCAAGTAGTTACTGTTTTATAGTGTTTGTGGTATATGGGAATGTGAATGGAGATCAGCTGAGTGTGTCTTTCTAAAATCCCATCCCAGTGCCTGTGTGTGGCTGCAAAGAAAGCTGTGGTGGAGATTAGGGTAGGGTGTGGGCAGGTTTCCTCCTAAACCCACCCCTTGTTATCGGTAGGACTTGGCTCATTATGGTGAGCTTCTATTTCCCACTGTCTGTATCTGGGGTTCTCGCCTCCTGGGCTCCATTCCAGGGCAGCTCACCCCTCTGCATCTGGCAAACCTGAGGGCCTCCAGGAACGAAGCTGCAGTGTTTCTGTAGGCCAGGCATCGAGGTGATGTCCCATGATGACGCAATGGCTTATGATGATGTGATAGCCCATGATGATGGTGCACTGTTCTCACTAGAGAAGTGTTAGGAAGTCCAGCCCCACCCTCGGGGGAGAAGGCGGTCCAAAGATGGCCCTCAAGAGTCAGAGATCACCCTGCCTGCCCATCACAAGGACTAACGAAAAAGCACATCAAAATGCTTGCTATGGCACCACTTCTGTAAGTGTTTCGGTTAATTATTTTGCCTCAAAAATTGCGATACCTCTTTTCCAAGCTATTTTCTGTCTCTGTGGGCTTAGGCAATGACCGTGGGGCACCAGAGGTCTGCTTTCTCCATTGGAAGATTACATATGTGCCACTGCTATTATTACTAATCACAATTAATTCTAATGGATAACAATAACATTAGAAAAGATTCCTATAGTGCAGGGACTGCTACTAATCCTGGCTTTCCCATTCTTGTCTTACTTCTTCACCTGAATTCTGGTCATCCTGTGTGTGTGTGTGTGTGTGTGTGTGTGTGTGTGTGTGTGTGTGTGACACTCAACACCAGCCCTACAACCTTGCTGCCTTGGTCTCCTTCTCATTCAGGATACAGCTCAGAGCTAGGATGAAATTTCCTCTGGGCATTGGCTTGTTCAAGGAAGAGAAGGGCAAGGTGGTCTCCAGTGTTTGGTGCTCCCTTTGACACCAGAGGCAGTCACAGTGCGAAAGAAAGGGAATCTGAGGCTTGGGCTGAAGAAAAGAATGAAGTAGAAGGAATTGATGTGACTCAAAGGAGCTGACGAGTTGTGAGGGCGGCGCTAGCCTTGCCAGAGTGGCTAAGACACGGGAAGAAAACTGGACTTTTAATAAAGGAGGCAGATTAAATTAATCATGACAGGAAAATGAGCAAGAAATGCTTTCACATTGTTATTTAATAAGAAAAATGTGTAATTAACTGATAAAAATAGTTTTTGCAAGGAGCAGGCAGTTAAATAGTTTATAGGGCCAGCCAGGCCCGATGCTGAGTGTCCCTGACTGTTAGCAATCAGAATGCTTTTTATATGGTGTCTTTCTTTGGAAACGCACAAACCATCTCACCACAGACATTACCTCATTTGCTTCACAGCCTAATGAGTGCTTTATGGCTGAGCAATGGTGGAGGAAATCAGTGACTCTGGAGATGAGGAGACCGAGGCTCAGGAACGACCCCTGACCAAGCCTTGAGGGCCAGCCATGGGGAAGAGTCCTTAGTCTCTCTTCCTCTGCCCCTCAGTCTCACTTTCTGCGTTAGCTGGTGGATTTGAACGAAACAATTGCTCCTCGCTTCCAAAAGCCCCGTGGAGGAAGCCGGGCTGTGTATTCTGGCCGACACGATCCCAGTCTTCTGAATGGGAGGTGGGGGTGGGAAGAGACCCTGGCATTTGCCATCTGCTAAACCCGTCTTTAATCCTCAGCAAAGTAATGGAATGGAGATGAAGGAAAAAAAACATGCAGGAATCAGGAGCATAATGCCACCACGAGCAAGCAGCTGTCTAGATTTTTAAAGAGCAAATTCCATGAGACAAATTTAATTGCATTTTTTAATAGAATTAAAAAAAAAAACCTTCTACCACATTAGTGGGTGAAGGCAATGAAATGGATGCATCCAGAAATCTCACTTGAAAGATGAATTCAACCGAGCCGGTTCTGAGCTCTGCCTCTCAGAAACCTGGCTGCAAGACCACGTGAGCAGCCGGTGGGCGGCTGTGCACTGGGTGGGAGATCGTGGCCAGCGGAGTGCTTCTGGCAGGCTCTGAGATGAGCTTGTATCTACAGTGCATCCTTATTAATGACTTGCAGGAGGTGATGAGCAGAACATTAATTAAATGTGCACATGTGGCCAAGTAGGAAATTGGCGGCGAAAACACCATAGGCAGGCACATAACATCCAGGTACTGCTTTCCAGTGTTCTGTGACTTGGCCTGTGAGAAGTGACTTGACTTTGTGTCCTCCTGCTCTCTCCTTGTTGTTTTGGGCTCCAACCAGATTTTCACTCAGTGCAACGGGGGCTGTATCTTTAGAGCAGGCTCATAAATCCCCTTGCCAAACACCAGGGTGTGTACAAGTTGCCCCTTCTAGCCCTGATGTGCTGAAAAAGGAAGCCTGCAAAAATTAATATTGATCTAGCAGAATAATGAAGCAGCTGGGAAGCTGGTCCAGACACCTTGTCCCGCTTCGTGGTCTGTTTATACCAGTGAAAGGGAGAGCACACAGGAAATGCCGGCGTTGGGAGGTGGGGGGAGCCATTGCATCCGGCTGATGTCCTCTGAGATTCCTAGGTCATTTGACCTCTAAATCCGGGTAGGCTTTTGGAAGCTAGGTAGTGTCCCCAAACTGTAAAGAAATCACATGGCTCAGTGAAGTCCAATCGTGACACCATTTTTACATTCAGTCAGTGTTTCACCCTCTTCTTAAAAGATCATTCCGGATAACACCAGTAGGTTGGCTGGTAGATTTGTGGCAACTGGGTCTTGGCACTGTTCTTATTAGAACTAATATTTGTTTGACAATGACTCTGTTGCCAAGAAAGAAAGAATGGCCTCAAGAGAACACAAGCAAGTGCTGTGTGTTCCATGATGCTAGATTATCTTTTGTGTTTTATTAAATTTGGGAACCATTAGCCAAACTCTGGGTAGACAGGGAGAGCTGTGTAACGGGGGAAGGACAGGGAGAGCTGTGTAACAGGGAAGGTGACACTAGTTAACCCTTTGGCAGCCTGAATTTTATTGTTAAAGTACTTGGGGAGAGGGACATGCCACCCACCCCTCAATAACAACACCTCAATCTCTGTCATTCCCTGATGGTAATTACAGAGTGCAATTAAGTGATTGAATTCATTCACACTGATTTAAAGGTAAGAATTATTGTTATACTTCTTTCTTTACAAGTCAAAAAAGTAGTTGAGACTGGTCCACAGTCTCCCTGAGTACAGGGTAAACTTGGAAAAGAAGGGGTGCAGAAGGGCAAATTGCCCCGAGTCACAATGTTCTAGGCTGGCATCATGACCATTATCCAACCTTGACTCAAGGTCACTTTTGGAGTGGATGCCTGAGCTGGACATTAAGGCCAGACAGTAAAATGAGCTCTTTAGTTACCCATTTCCTGTTCTCCACAGTAGGGGCTGAGGTTGGTGTGAGGGATGGGCTGAGGTGAGGACCCAGTGACAGCTCTAAGTATGTTTTCACTCTCACAAGCAACTCGACTTTGGCTTCAGACGTGCATAATTCACCGAGACAGCTGAAGTTGTGGCTGGGCTGGGTGACACCTGTGACAAGGCACTTCAGTGACCCTCTTTGTTCCGTTGGCATGGATTTCACTTCTCCTGGAAGCTGGCTGGGTCATTTATTCTGTGCCACCTGAGATGTCTTTTGATGCATTCAGTTCTTTTTGCAGAACGGTCCCATGCCCAGGAATGTTTGCGAAGGCACAGGTGTTATTCTAGCCCCATTACATACTGATGCTCCAAGTTGCTATCCTCCTGGCCTGGTGGAAGTCATTCGTTTACCTCCTTGGCTGGGATGGAAGGAGTGAGCTGTTCTAGGACTGGACTGACAGAGCACATAGTTTCAAATCAGGCCAAAGCATCTCTCAATGGTGACAAAGACCAGTTTTGGCTAAAGGCTATAGTTGCATGTTTAAGGTACTGTACCATAGGAAAATAATCATTGTGTTTTGCAATGTTTGTATCTTGCAGGGATATCCCTAGAAAGTGCCCCCCACCCCTGTGTGTGTGTGTGTGTGTGTCTGTGTGTGTGTGTGAGATGGTGACCATGACAATGTAGAATTATGCTATTTCTATTAAGGTGATCACACATTTGGAGAGAAGGGGTAATCACTCCAAACACACACATTAGGAAAATCTAATCTTAGTTGACTTCATAATTTGTTCTTAGTTAGGAGGATACAGTGAAGTAACACTATGTGATATGACTTCTAAGATTAGGCCAGAGGAGGTCAGGAAGCTTCCCATGGATTCCCTAGGGTTACTTGTCCTGGGGGAGATGAGTTACTTATGATGTCCAATTCCCCTAGATAACCTGCAGGAGAGGTGAGATGTTGTGCTCTGGTCAGTAGAACAGAGACCAGTTCTCTTGCCAGTCTTAACTTGGCTCTAGACTTTGGAGTGAATCTGTCTTGAAACCAAATAACATAGACTACAGAGTACTACTGTGGAAGCTCGATGAATTTCACATGGAGTGGATAAACCACATAGCTGAGCCCTGCCTGAATTCTTGACTTGCAGGATTTACACAATAGAATAAATGATGGTTGTTTTTGAACTGGATTTAAATTTAAATTCTATACTAGAGGAGGGAACATTCCTAAACACTCACATTTATTTCTGTCCCAATCCTGTACACCATTGAGAAGACAAAAATGAAAAATCAAGGATATTTGGCCCTGTGTTGGGGAACAGGCTGACATGACAGGCCTCATTGTTGTCTCCTTATTAACATGTCCTCCTAGGAAACGGGATCAGCCCATATATGGTTCCTAGCTTGCTTTCTAGTCAGTGTCAATATACAGCACCAATAGCTCTGCCTGAGCCATAGCAACATTTGATGGAAATTTCTTATGCCCCAAAGTATCATCCACACAAATTAATCAGATGTGAAATACATTTGGGTCATTTTCTTTGTTCAGAACTGTGTCGTCAAATTTGGAAGAGACGGGACTTCGGCACAGGTTGCCAGCTCCGAGGGCGGCCACATGGAAATGTCTGTCCATGTAGGGTCTGCTATTGGAAATAGTCTTGTGTGTGGATCACTGTCAGTTTTTTTAAGTGGAGCTTCTGTTGGAGTGGGACCCACTCTGGCTAGAAAACCCTTTGTTATTATTATTTTTATAAAGAAAAGTATTAAACAAACAAGAAAGAACAAACCTTTCAACTTGATTGATTGGCTTGTGAGTCCCTGGAATCTGCCTGCCTCTGTTTCCCCCTTCTCAACCCGTGCTGGGGTTCCAGACCCACACTGCTATAACCAGCTTTCCAAGGACTCTGAGGATCTGAGCTTAGGTTTTGGTGCTTGCACAGTAAACACTCTACCCACTGAGAACTCTCTCCACCCCCTGCTCTTGCTGTCTTTAATCAGGTTTATTTCCATTGGAGAAGACTGCACCTTGCACCATAGGTGCTTAAGGGAAAGATGCAGACTATGGAAATGGCAGCTCCTAAGACATGTAAGCACACAATACACATTTGATGAGCAGGGCTAGGGCGCTAGGGAGATGGCTCTGTGGGTGGAGTTCTTACCATGCATGCATGCGTGAGCACCCGAGTTTGGATTTCCAGCACTCACATGAAAAGTTGAGCATGGCGGGGCATTCTTGCAAGCCCAGGATTGGGGAGGTGGGGCAAGAGGATCCCTGGGGCTTGTTTGCTGGCGGGCAGTCTAACCAATCAGTGAGCACCAGGTTTAGTAATAGATTCTCTGTCTCTCTCTTACACACACACACACACACACACACACACACACACACACGCACACACGCACGCACGCACGCACACCATGCATCCCCATACATGAATACATAGATCAACACATACACTTAGACAAAACCTGATGAGTAAATATGTGATTATTATTAAATTCCTACTCACATATTCTGGACATACCCAATGTTTTAGGTTCTGCTGAATTTTCCAGTGCACTTTCTATTGTGTATGTGTGTGTGTGTGAACATACATGTATACACAGAGGGATGAGAGTGTGACAGGGGAAGTATCAAAGGCCACCCTCCAGGTGGACAAATCATGTCACTCTTCTCTACCTCAGTTTGCTTCTTACAAAGCACAGGTTGGAATGGGGTGGCCCTCCGGCTCTCTCCAGTTCTGTATATAATCATGTTACTCATGTGTGGGGACTGTTATAGTTTCATTAGATGTTGAATCTGGGAAACTAGTAGCATGAATGCTAAACACAGCCATACAGTAGGGATTTTTAATCCAAACATTATTTATCCAGCACTAATCAAAAATACAATGAAAGGATTTAAAAAAAATAAAAAGCAAACTGAGAATCCGCCAGACATAAAACAAATGCTTTCCTCTCTAGCTCTGAAGGACTCATTCAAACATCTGGGGGATTTACAGGTGTTAAAATTGCCCCTTGAAAGAAACCTTTTTATTTCCTGGGGTGATGGAAATATATTGATAATTACAAGAGGAAATGAGTTTTTTAAAATAAAACAATTAAAAGGGCTTAGCATTTAAATGAAAGAGAATGTAATTTTCCTTTATTTTATCTGTCATTAAATTGATGTTACAAGCTATTAGAAGAGTTTAGTCAAGGCCGATTTTCAAATATAATCTGTACTGAAGTGGGAGGTTGGAGGAGAGGGTGGGCCCAGCTCGGTACCAATGCACCTCCACACACATATGCACACACGCACACACACACATACACACACACGTGTGCACACATGCATGCACACACACACACACACACGCACACACGCACCTCAGAGGGATCATTTCTTTAAGAATTATGAGCCTGGAGGTGATGAACAAGGAGTGATAGTATGTAGACTCATAGACAAGAAGAAAGACAATGGTAACCCTGTTGCCTGGTCAGAGGCTTTTCTTGATTTAGTTGGAATAATTTTTTTTTCTTGTATGAGTATATGCTTGTGCAGGTATTCATGCATGTATGTGAAGGTCAGAGGCTAACCTTTGGTGTGCTCCTCAGCTGTCAGCTACACCGTGTTGTGAGTTCACTAAGTGAGCTGGCCTGACTTGCCAGCAAGCTCCAGGGATACACCTGTCTCTGCCTCGCCAGTGTTGGATCGCGAGCGAGCACCACCACACCTGCCTTTTTTGTGGGTTGTGGGGATCGGACTCAGCTGTTTGTATTCATATAGCAAGATTTCGGACTGAGTTTCCTCCCAGCCCCTCCCTATGCATTTTTGACAGTAAATGCATGAACATAATTAGGGAGCGTCAGTATTTGATGCCTGAGCAGATATCATAACAGACCTGAGATTACTGTCAGAGGGGCCCTGAAGCTACTCACATGGCTCTAGATGTCAACCTTCTCTTCCTGAGTCTGCTCACTGGCATCACGTGTGCACTCCAAAATTAGTCAGGGCTGGGGGAATATTGACATTCTGAAGATAAATAAATGCTATAAATCAGTGCCTTACAGATCTGGTTGTAATTTAACAATAATCAGCACTGTATATTTGTCAATGTACACAACCAATTAGAGTGAAAAACTTATAATAGCATTAATAGGGCATATTACATTTATTATTGTTTGCAGTGATAATTAAATAGAAGTGACACATACATGTTTATATGCAGAATAGCTGCCTTTTACTTGGGTTCCCAGCAT